TATTAGGTTGGCCAAAAAGTTCATTTGGGTTTTTCTGTAAGAAACCCAGTAATATGATAGACAGGAAGAGAAAGACAGAACAAAGTAACTGTAAAGTATACATTTATTGGTGATTTGTCTCAAATGATGACACTTCACAATAAAAAGATAAACAATTTTCTCATTTGATACTTGAAATCTACAGAAACATTATTCTAATTCAACGAAAGCTTATAAATGTTCACATTTTATTCAAGTCTGTACTTTCTACCTAAAAAAGAAATACAAAAATCCCATAAATTATTCTAAGAGTAAAATATTTCTTACTCTTAGAATAGGTGTTTTTCTAAGGCAAAGATCAATTAGGCTGTGTCAGTAGTCCTGGGTTAATGTAACTTCAACTCAGCTATACTGTATTTATTGTGGTGATGATATTAGAGACTGAGAAGAAATTTTTCTCAATATCTTTACGGAATGTGTCAAAAATATTAAATTAACATATTAAAATTACATTGCTAGATGAATTATTTTAAAATTCCCTTGGAGAAGATGTAATTAACTGACTTATTCTTTGAATAGAAGACTTGAGTAGAGATGATGGCTAGTTAATTTGAATACAGCCTTGTTTTAATGCCCTTCCTGTATTTTAGGAAACAATATTATAAATGCTGATTGCTACTAATACAATTTTAATAATTTTCACTTATGGAATGAGTGTGCACATAGGTGATGAGGCCAACAAGTATAAGCCATGTAAATTTAGTGTTGGAATCTTCAAATTTTCAGCCAAATAAATAATAATGCCTAATCTCAGGGAACAAAATTAAAATGGTTATTATGTAGATGTGGAGACACTGCATTTAATTTAAACTCTGAATAAAATATTGAATATAGTACCAGTTTAGTTTTTATCTTGGGAAGTTCAAACTCATGTTAAAGCAGATACATATTATGGGCATACAGTATGGATAACAAAACAAAGATCAAATGACCCACAGACTAGAGATACTGACAATAATTTTCCTGGTTTTAAGACTCACACTTAAAAATAATCATGGTAAGGCCCTGCATAAGCTATATGGGCTTTGGTATCAGTTCTGGGTATAAACACCAGCTCTACTACTCACTACGCAACAAAGGAAAAGTGCTTCTGAGCCTTACTTTCCTCACAGGGTAAAATAGAGCTCTTGTCTTGGAAGAATATAATAGCATTTCATTATAACCATGCCTACAAGTTAGACCAGGTACTTGCCACAGTGATCAGGTTGATGTACTCAAGGAACTATTAATAGCTGTTATTAAGAGCTTCTGAAATAGATTCTGAAAAGGCAGAGCTATAAGGTCTAAGAGTCTAAATAAAAAGGCACAAAGTTTAAAATTATATATGATTAATACTTCATTACATCAATTATAATGTAAAAATACATTCAGAAAATATTGATTAGTGCACTCACAACATGCCAACATATGCTATGCTTCAATATTTTATGGTATTTGTTAAGTGTTAGTGGAACAAGAAGTGTAGAGCTATGAAGGCATAAAAGGTGAACAACGGATATGGTTATCGGTGCTCAGCTGTTGCATGGAACAGTCTCCTTTAGCTAACCTAATGGTATGGAATGACTTCATTTTGCAGTACACCATCTCTTCTTTCAAATTAAGAAGGAATATTTTAGTTCAAGTGAGAACCAGAGAGAATAGTCCCATCAGTTTGTCTTTTTCCTTTAATAATAGTAGACCTACAAAGTTCTCATTTAAGTTTTTTTAAGTGACTGTATTTTCCACCGGGGGTAGAGGGGAAAACAGAGTGAAGAATTAGGGAAAGAAAGAAGTGGAAGGGGAGGGACAAAGGAGGGAAGAAGATACAGAAACACCTGGAGAGGAGGATCACAGAAGAAAGGAGGGAGAAGGTTAAAAAGTGTGGGGGGGATGGAACTATGTTCCTGGTTTTTGTTTATTAAAATGAACATATAAACATTCCCCCAAAACACACACACATACACACACAAGCATGTTCCTACTTTGCTGAGAAAAAGTTATTAATGAAGGTGGAATAGCTCCGTACTTCGCTGATAGATACTTCAGTGTTCTCTTTTTCAAATATAATTTGAACTTGTTTCCAAGCTATCATCTTTAAGTTTTAAGATCTGACTGCAAAATATAATTGGTCTGTTTTGTAACTTTCTTCATAAAGAGGTATTGATATTTCTAAAATATTTCTCTTGTTCATTTACCAATATGTATAGTACAGTGAAACTGCAACATAGGATTTATATAACTGCTATTACCATCAGTTCAAGACTAACAACTTGCTTGGCACATAGGGATAATGTGTTTGCAAATTACTACTATTATTGATTGTTTAAAATAAACACAATGATACCATTTTTTATATATTCTACTGTCTTGAGCAGAGGAGACAGATCACCAGCTATGCACATTACATTTGCTAAGATTTTTATTGCTCAAAGTTAGATTTAGAGAATACTGTTTGATTTATGGTACATCTGAATCCATGTTATATCACACAAGGAATCTGTGATGTGTGCCAAGCAATCCTATTAACAGTCAAGAGAGGCTATGATTTAATTAAACAAATAAGGACAGGATATTGTTACTTCAAAAGGTCACAAATAACTAAAATTATTATTGTTATCTCTAGGAAAATAAAACAAAAAGCTAGGAAATGGTTGAGGAAAGAGTAAACAAATTCAGTCTAGGTAATCCAACATCCAGATGTTGTATTTCCAGGAAAAGAACAAAGGCAATAAAGAGGAAATTCTGAAAAAATGATAGAAGAGAATTTCCCAGAGCCAAAGACCAGGTGACTTAGGACTGGAAGAGCCCATCAAACATCTAGTATAATAAATGGGAGAAGAAAAACCAAAACCCACAGCAGGGCACATTAAGCCAATTATAAAAGACCAATTATATGACTCCATTTATATTAAATGTCCAGAATAGGCAAATCTTTAGAGACAGATGAGCAAGATGATAACTAAAAAGCACAACTATTCTAGGGGTGATAAAATTGATTCTGGTGACGGTTGTATTAAGTCTGTGAATATACTAAAAATCATTAAACTGTCTGATTTAAATTGGTGAGCTATACTCAGCCATAAAAAAGAACCCATTTGACTCAGTTCTAATGAGGTGGATGAACCTAGAGCCTATTATACAGAGTGAAGTAAGTCAGAAAGAGAAAGACAAACATCATATATTAATGCATACATATGGAATCTGGAAAGATGGTACTGAGGAACCTATCTACAGGGCAGCAACAGAGACACAGACATAGAGAACAGACTTGTGGACATGGGTAGAGATGGGGGGAGAGGGTGGGACGAACTGAGAGAGTAGCACTGAAACATGTACATTACCATATGTAAAATCAGACAGCCAGTGGAAATTTGCTATTTGATTCAGGGAGCTCAAATCTGGTCCTCTGTGACAACCTAGAAGAGTAGGATGGGGCAGGGGGTGGGAGGGAGGTTGAAGAGGGAGGAGACATATATATACCTATGGCTAACTCATGTTGACGTATGGCAGAAACCAACATAATATTGTAAAGCAATTATCCTTCAATTAAAAATAAATAAATTAAAATTAAAAAATAAAAAATTGGGGATATGTATGGTATGTGAATAAAACTGCTAATGTTAATGTGTGCTAGTTGCTCAGTCATGTGTGACATTTTGTGACCCCATGAACTGTAGCCCACCAGGCTCCTCCGTCCATGGGATTTTCCAGGCAAGAGTACTGGAGTGGGGTGCCATTGCCTTCTCTGAAAAGGCACAAGAGACATGCAGAGATATTATACATGGGTGAATGGCTAGCAAGTTTCTCTTTCTGGTAGGTGGAAGGGATCTGGTCATTATACTTTGAAACCCTTAAATGCCTCACAATGGAAGGCTTTCCAATAAAGTCCCAGTTCAAACTTTTGTTGCCCAGTTTCCCACTAGGCAGTTGGTCTTCATTCATCTAAAGGGGAAACAGCTGGCTGCCAGGCTTTCCACTCATGGCGGTGAACTATTACTTTACATACTTTTAAGCCCCTCCTTTTTTAAGCTCTAGCACACACTTCCTTTCTTTCATGATTCTAGCAGCTGCAAGGTAGACCAGCTCTTTTATTAGCTAAGGTTTCCTCCATATTATAGGCTTCTTCTGTCACTAATCCTCCATCTATTTTTTAGCTTCTAGAAATGGGCTCATATTTCCCATTTATTGCTGGGCTTCTCCTATTCTTTTTATTTATTTTTTTAATCATTTCAATCATGTCTTGAGGAGGAGAGGAGCTAAACACTCGTTCTAAAATATACTTTTAGGTATATGTATATCTTAAATAGGAAGCAATCTAGTCACTTCAAAGTTCAACGGGCCCGATTTTAAGAGAAAATGACAAAAGCATTTGAGAATTATATCAATTATTAAATCTGGAGGAAATAAAACCTGAGTACTATCTACTCTAGCTTCCCATGTCAAAGTCTTATAATTTTACTTGTATGGCAATAGCAAATAAGCATACCCACTGCATAAATACAGGACTATTTCTGAATGATAATTAGTTAAGAATATTCTGAAGTACAGATGTAGCCAGCTCCTGTTTGTAGTATATGCTTACTCAGAATTCATTATATGACTATAAGATGTAAAGGACACTAAATTCACAAGAAATTAAAAGGTACTAAAGGATGAAACAAAAGAGTATTCTGATTACTGGGGTCTACTACCAAGGAATTTGAGCTGAAAGAAACCCCAGAGGCTAATGCAGTCCAATTATTTAATTTTCTGGAAGTGAAAATAGAGACTGACAGAGTTTCAGTGAGTAGAACCAACCAGTGAATATCCTTTGCTATAAAGTAAAAGAAACAACTACTCACTGTAAAAATGATCAAAGCTTAGTGGCGAATACAGTCATGTCTTTTCATTCCTAAAGATAAGCTTTGATTAGGTACAAACTCCATAAGGACTGAGTTATCATAAATGAAACTGAGAGATGCCTGAATGATATTCATACTTACTCATTGCCCCAGTCCAGGCGCACGGTGATGTGCCGCTTAACCTCCCGCACCTGATCCTGAGTCAGGTGACCAGACAGGAGCTGCCTTCGAAGGTCAATAAGTTCATTCATCACATGGCGCAGCTTGTAGAAAAGATCTACTTTATGTTTCTGAAAGGGCATTTTTGGTGTTGGGTGAAATAAAAAAGGGATATGGAAAGGGAATGAAAAAAAAAGAGAAACGGTTAAACTATTAAAAGTGCTCAATTCTCTGAACCTCTAAAAAATAAAAGGCAATGTAGAATGAAGCTTATTTAAGAATCTTAACGCCCTTAGTTCCCACTGTCTAAAAATCTCTATAAAGTGATATCTAACAACATAATTGACCTGGTTCATGTAAAATGCCATTTGTTTACTCTATCCTGGACTATTAATTTTCCAGTAAGTTACTAAACTCAATCACAACAAAAAGAAACACAGAAGCTTAGAGAGGTTTTCACTGACAGAAGCTACTTTGTATGTTACAAGGAAGATTTCAACCATCCAGCAACATCTCTGGTTTCTCCAGAAGGATACTCAAGTTGCGGGAGGGAGGAAGAGAATCACTTGCCCTATTTTGAAGGAACTGCTCCAACATAAAGTTACAGTCTCTGGAGTGAGATTCATTCCAGGTTTCCAGGCCTCATTTAGTTTTAATTAGCTTCTGAAAACAGTATGCATCCCCAGTGTCACAGATTTCTACTCTTTTCAGATCAATAAAAAGTCTCACCTTTATAAGAGTTAAGTGGAAACATCTTAATGAACTTAATTATGGACATCACAGTGCTTTTAACCTTACAAGTAAAAACTGTAAATGCTATGATAGTACACAGATGCTTATCAAAAAGATTAATTTAAGAACACAGGTTTAAAAACTCAAGTTCTATTTGCTCAGAAGTGAAATCTTGATTTTGGAATTTTTGATTCCTGTTTCTATTACAGAAAAGCACAATTTTATATGATAATTAAAATTCCTCAAATGTAACTAGTCCAAAAGAACGCTTTTAAGGACAGATCAATCTTTACCATAGTGTAAGTAAAGTCTCTATCTGGGATTTCCCCTAAAGAGACACTTGCCAAAATAAGCTGGATTCAAAATAAGTTGGCTATAAATAAATTTATAATTAAAATTATAAAAAGTAAATTACAAATTAGTAGAATCAGCTGATGTTTTTAAGTAGCCCTAATCTTATGATTACAATGTTTGGAACAACATGCTACTCAGAAATCATCTAATGGAGCATTAGATTTATAACGGTCCATTTTAAAGAGAAATTATTTTTAACTATTAATAGAAGACCTTAGTAATCACCCACTCTAACTACATCAAGCTGTTCTTTCTTTACTCAATGAACATTTGAAGAAAAGTTAAGCACCCTGATGGTACACAATGCTGGCAGATGGACAGGACCCAAATTTTCGCCAGCTCAAAAACAACAAAGCCTAAGCAAATTGCATCTGCAAAACTCAGAGCTTGAAGCAAGAGTGGCAATGTGCTGTTTTCTTCCAGCGCATGCATTTCTTTTTGACAAATCAGGGCCACCTGTCTATATTTAAAATAAGCTAGGATTAATACTTATCCATCAAGCCATATGCAACAACCCACTATACAGACATATAAGCATTTATTCATTCACTCAGTTAACAAACACTTATGGAGCACCTGCTGAGTGCTATCACTGTTGTGATCCTAAGTCCCTACACTCATGGTGCTTTCATTCTAGAGAGCAGACACAGACCATATAGGCAAATACATAATGGTGGTGAGATATACATAATATCTCATTTACAAATACATAATTCTAAGAAGAAAAATTAAAGCAGAACAGGAACAATGGGTGACCAAGGGTGGGTTGGCTGGGGAACAGGAGAAGGTACTGCTTCAGGTGGAATAGTCAGGGAAAGGCTTCTCTGAGAGCTGAACTTTAAGTAGAAACCTGAATGAA